CAAGCCCACCTCTCTAACCTCTGCGCCACCACTCCCCCACAAAAACAGAAACTTTCTTTAAAAATGTGCCCATTTAACATCAACTTTGTCACGACCCACTTGTCAGATTTTAATAAAAAACTTGCAGAAAACAATTATTGGATGCAGATCTACAACTGATTAACCTTTGGAACCAACTATCAAAAATAGCCACCTATAATCCTATAATCTCACCTATAAATCTGTAATTCAGACAATTTTACAGGTGGTACGCTAAAATGTTGTGTGGTTGTTGCTGAGAGTCATTCACAACACACACTCCAAGTAGGGCTGTCACGATAAAAAAAATTTGCTTGGCGATTAAATGTCTCAAAAATTATTGCGATAAACGATAATATTGTTTGAAATTTGACAATTAGTAATTATTGTCAAATTTCAGAAGAAATGATGGTCGAGTGTAGTACTTTTCTTGACCACCGGATGGCAGTATAAGACTGAAATGAAGGATGGATAGTGAGGGAGCAAGCAGCGTGGCTATAAGAAGAAAAATGGGAGGGAGGCCTCGACGTGACATGGGCTGTCCTTCTTTTTTTGGGTTCTCAAAATGGCGGACGCTCGGTATGGTTTGAGCTCTTTAGCATAGCATTTTTCACACAAAGTTTTTAATATAAAAATCGGTAAACAAGTTCTCAGCTTCTTTTTGCAGAGAAAAACAACTTTTTAGACGAAGGCACGGGTTTCTGTGAATTTTAGAGCTTCGACAAGACGGAGGCTCCCCCCCGAGGTCAGCCTGTTAGCTTAGCTCGTAGCTGAGCTTCTCAGCTTAGCTGCTTTTAACGATCCAAAAACGCGATTTTGGACGGTTCAAAACAGATTTTAAAGAGAAAGGGAGGAGGCAGTGAAGAGCGCCAGAGTTTAGCCTTTTGTCATCCAGTGTCTTCAGTAGAAAGAGAGAGACACAAAGAAACGTTAAAGCCGATAAATGAAAACGAGGTCGATAATTTTCATCTATCATGCGATTAATTGATTTATCGTTTATCGCGACAGGCCTAACTCCAAGTGCTACTCATTCTGAGATATTTGCATCAAATTTAGCATTACTGCACATGTTTAAACCTATGAAAGGCAACAGTATCCCCCTTAGGGATTGATAGACCTTTAAATTTCTGGGCGTTTGACAGATACTGGATGTAAAGCTAAAGCTTGGGCTAAATAAAAGTAAAAATCATATATACGAGCTCTTGAGCATCGTTAAAAGCAGGGAACAGAAAGCAGAATGTGAAGATGCTGCATCCTGAATATTCCTGGTCACCGTAAATAAAGCAGGATCTTTAAATTATTAATCCTCCAGTGGATGCATGCAGGTTTAAAAAGTTAGAAACAGCTTTAGAGACAACAGTGTGCTGCAGGTAGCGCTCCCCCTTCAAATAAACTGTGGTTTTTGGGGCTGTGTGTCAATAAATGCCCTTTTGTTGCCATGAAAGAACTCCCTTGATTTATGCATGCCAAGGGCAGGGACCCCTGACTGACCTCTGGGTGGCAGAGTGGCATTTTAAAAAGGTGCAATCTTTAAAAAGACACTTATTCAGCGTGAAACAGTCCGTGAACAGCTCACTGAAAGTTTAAAAAATGTGATAAATGTGGTGAGGAAAAACAACTAGGGGAAATCTTTGTGTCCCTCAGGCTGGAGTGTAACAAGTGCAGCGCGCACGAGCACAACTAGTGAGACAAAACCACCGGTGTTTTGTTTGGAAATTTAAAAATAAAAAAAAATTTTAAACTACAAGTAACGCCAATTAGCACCTTCAAAGAACCAAAAGCGGCGCGTACTCACCGTGAGGAGAACTTCCTTGCTTTTGTTTCCGCTTTCCTCCCGGCGTGTTTTGAAGGGGTAGCAGCGGGGCAACGCTTGGCTAGGTCGCCGTCTCTCAGCTCAGCATGGCGGCCACGGACTGAGCCAAACCTCCCCCGGGCTGAGACACCAGCAGGCGGGGGGAGGGAGCACGAGGAGGCGGCGCTGCTGCTGCTGCTGCTGGTGCGAAACAAACGCAGGTAGCGTTCACACACAGGCGCGTGCAGCCTCTCACCTGGATCTTAGTAGTTCACTACTTGCATTGCTCATATGCAACACAGACTTAATATTAGCTATAAAAATGTACTGACAGCCCTAATTCTGATCAAAGTTCACCCACATTGTATTGAGTTTTGCTGGAAACAATTTGGTCATGGTTCAACAAAAGGCTGAAGTGGTTCAAATAAGAAGCAGCTGATGAAGCATTTTGCAACAAATTATGTTAATTGGCAACAAGTCCGTGAGAAGAGGGAGCATTTAAGAGACTGCATTTCTAAGATGAGCAGGTTCTCCGGTCTGCAAAAAAGTGTCTAAACATCCATCCATCCATTATCTTTTACCCGCTTCTTCCATTTTGGGTCACGGGGGTCACCGGTGCCCATGTCCAGCAATTACTGTGCGAGGGGTGGGGTACACCCTGGACGGGTCACAAGTCCTTCACAGGGACACATAGAGACAAACGAGACAAACAACCATTCACTCTCTCACTCACACCTAGGAACAATTTTAGAGTTACCAATCAGCCTAACATGCGTGGAATACCTGGAGTAAACCCACGCATGCACAGAGAGCACGTGCAAACTCCGTGTCTAAACATTTTAGAAAAAAATTCTGATTAATGTCAACATAATGTCAACAAAACATTTCAAGAATCGTGAGACATTTTTGTGCAAAGGACAAGACTGAAAATCTGTGCTGTGATCTCAGATGCTCAAGTTGCAATGAAACAGGTTGGACATCACTGCATGACACATCCATTTAATCTACACATGGGAGACTGCAAGGAAGTGAAGATTCAACTTGTCTGCTGGATTCCTTAGAGAACTTTACTGATTAGCTTTTCTATGTAAGTGAATGTTCCTGTAAAGTGCCCCGAGACAACTTTGTTGTGATTTGCCGCTATATAAATAAACTGAATTGAATTGAATATGCTCCCATCCAGATTTTTTTTTTCCATTATTTTTTTGTCAGGGTTTTCAAAATAAATATATTTTTCATTCTATTGTCCATTGTTCAGTAATGCATGCAAAGCTGTATGTTGGATATCTGGTGTATATTCCTCTATCATGAGTGAGCTATGTCTTCCCAGTCCTGTGGTTACAGGTGCTCACAGACAGGCTGTGTGTTCTGTGATCATGAATGACTGACACATTCTGAACAGGACTTTGAGGTGACTAAGTATTTAAATGAAATTTTATATTCAGCAAAAACTGACACAGATTCATTTCACATCACTGAGAGGGATATTATCACCATGTCATAAATTATTAAGAGCCTCAAAAGGTCTCAGTTAACATTTTTCACTGTGTTGCACACTTTACATTATTTTATTTGATTTTATTGGATATTGAAAGACACTGATATGTTGCTTTGTAGTTCTACATGTTTATTTTATTTTTTTTCAGAAAGATAAGGTCAAGCTGCACTGACAGTTTACAGTGTTGGGATGGGGCACTTAGCCAAACCGGAATGAGTGCATCATCTCCTTCAGCAGAGGAAGACTCTTTCTCTACAGCAGGTTTGGCACAGGTTCCTTATGTGTAACTATTTTTTGTACAGAATCACTGCTTTCCTCCAAAGGTAAGTACCCATGTGGAAGAAAGAGATCCCTATGTCGATCCCTATATAAAATCATTCTAGCCGTCCCTATTCTCAGGTTTAACTGTGTAAACTGGGAGGGTTTGGACTTACATGATCACACCAACAGGACTTATCCTGATTCTGGAGAGTGCCCACCATTCAAGTAGGGTATGACTACAATCATTCCATCGTGTTGTACCTATAGAAAGGTATGAGGTTGTCCTAACCTTGTGGATATCAGCCACTTGACGACAGGTCCCTGATTGTGCAGGACCCGAAGTCTGGACCCTGGTCACCATGTCATTTTTTGGGGATGCCATAGTGTATCATGAAGTTCTCCCATAGACACATTACTACAGTGCAAATCATCTGATTAGATGTTGGGATGGCAAATGTAAATTTAGTATAGTGATCCATGATCATGAGTTGGTCTTGGTTCCACTTTTGTCAGCTTCCAAAGACAGGAATTCCATACAGAGGAGCTCTAGAGGCCTATTAATGCTAATGTAGACCAGGGGGGCAGCTCTTTCAGGTTGGACTTTCCTCTGCATGCACCTGTCACATCTTCTCACCTTCCTTTCCACATGAATTGCCATCCTCAGCCAATAGAATCTGGCCCTTACAAGGTCCAGTGTAGGATGTGACCCATGTGACCCATATGGTCATGTAGGCTGATGAGGACTGTGTTGCCAAGCTCAGCTGGGAGTACAAGCTGGTGCGTTGTCCAGGATCCCACTTGGTGTCATCTGTACAGGATGTGGTTGAGGAGCTGAAGGTGGTTTAGCTCTTGGAGAAGAAGTGGATGGTCAGGGGGTTGGGTGTGCAAGCTGGGGGGTGCTGAGTCTCCATGTCTGATCTGGGAGACAACATGCTTTATACATCGATCAGCTCTTTGCGTATATGCTAGCTCAGCTTCAGTGAGATGATGTATGGTCAGTATACCCCCAAAGTGCTCTTCTTGCCCATAGCTGTCAGGCACAGCACTAGGAGACATAGCAAGCGTCTCCACTAAAGCAATGCGATCGGCATCGCCTTTGCTCTCGTGATTAGGGTTGACACTATAAGTGAGCTGTCTCTCACATATCGCCATCACAATCATCTGATCCGCTGCATTGATGTTCTTTGGATGGTGGTCTTGAGCAAACTGTTGGATGTGTTCTCTCTCTTTTAGGGATCTCAGGTCACCTGTTAGCACCCCATGCAGGATAGTCCATTTGCATCTCCATTCTGCCTTCCTGGTATTGAAGTTGTCTCTACACTTCCCTTGATGAGGATGTAACGTTAGTGTTCTATATACTATAAGTTCATTTGCTGTGAATAATAAGTTACCTTAAACTGTGTTTGTGAGGGGCTGTGTAGGTAGTGCCAGTGAGTTTAAAGGGTAACTCTCAGGGGTCAAAGGTTATGCAACTTTTTTTTTTCTCCAAAGAAAACGTGAGTCAGAAACTCAGGGTGGAGGAAAGACAGAGTGACCCTTGTCTCATTGTGCAGTGCAGAGGAGGGGGAAGGAGAGGACTTTTAGCAGTGTAAGTGCCGTACAATGCCACCTTTGAGTGAAATTAAAATTTCTGCTGCTTGAAGACACAACAATCTACTTCTATGGCTGCTTTGTGAGTTCACTGAATTGTAACTATTTCATTTTTTTCCTGTAATGCAACATTTTAGCCATATCTTTACATATACTCCCATACATCTTCATGTTTCTTTTCCTCATCAGCCCTTGATGATTTTTGGAGCTTACAGACTAGCTGCAGTTGAAAGAGGATGGGAAGTGCTGCCTGAAATGAATATCAAGAGCAGCTGGGTTTATCTTTTCTCACTCTGACATGTGCTGTATTGTATATGATTTTCTCTGTCTAAAACAGGTCTCTCTTGAAAATGAGTCCTCGTGAAATGTACACAAAGACTTTAAATTGATTCATTGCCTCTTGAACAAGCCTGCGTTTGAAAGACTTGTTTAGTGTAATAAACTTTATTGTCCTTTCAAGTCTTTACAATGGTCATGCACTTCTTTTTGTCTTTCTCTGTCACAGTCTTTAGCTTAGAAGTCAGCCCTATTTTAATGCTGCTTCAGATAAGAATGTCAGTTGAATAGAAAAACGGACAGGGAGTGTCAGCAACACACACACATACACACAATGGATATGGACAGTAAGGTGTGGATTTTCTTTTCTGTAAGTATATTATCTTCATGCCTGGGCTCTTCAGACACATCCGCTGGATATATTTAGAGTCCCCCGTGAGTGTATCCATGCTACAAAGCAGACCACAATCTTTCGCAACACTGAAAGGGCCAGTGCTGCTCTGGAATCAGTCAGGAGGTGTGTATGTGATGTGTCTGTGTGTGTGTGTGCGCACGCACATGCAGGTACTGGTGTGGAACAGGATTAACACCAAAAAAGTCAGAGGTCAAGGCATTTGGCTTACTCGTGATTAAAGTTCAAGAAATCACACCTGAAATGGAACACAAACGATGTTTAAACCAATAGTTTATCTTTTGCAAGTAACAAATAAAATATATAGTCATTCGTGTACAGATTTGCAGATGTACGCTTGAAGAATTTCAGAGGTTTAAAGAAGTTTGTGTCAGAGCATATCTTGCTGTTAATGTGCTGTTTTTCAGACTAACCATGTAACTTGTTTATAGCATAATTATTGCACAGATAACTTGTGTTATGCTAAACTGGTAAAAGGATTATGACCTTTTAAGTGGATCAGGGTGCTCCTTAATGTTTCTAATTTGCGTCTGTCTCATTCTTTTCTCAATTATATCTATCTTTCCCTACCTAAATTAAGTCAAATGCTAAGTACAAATTTCTAATTTTTGCCTCCTTATTTGCCAGTATTCATTCAAAGTCGGGAACAGTAAAGTAAGCCTTCAACAACCAACTACCAGTACTTATGTGCAGGTTATATACAAGGATTAACATTAATTTGTTTGACTAAATAAATAATAAACCTGAATACTGCTAAGTTAGGTGTTTCTGCAAGAATGTTGTTTAATACACTTTTTTTTAGAATAATAACCGTTTTGTTTTAATATATTTTATTTACTTTTCATTTTAAATGCTTTTATATGATAATCTATTGTTGTCTAAACTTCATCTGTGTTCGTTCTTTAAAACCGTTCCCTCATGTAAATGAGTACCCGAGGCTCAATGAGACTAACCTGTAGAAATAAAGGTTGAATGAATGACATGAAATAAACTGAGGCGACATTGACATTGAATGTGGATTTTCTACTACAAGAAGCAAAGCATCACCATCTAGTGGTTAATACTGAACACAAGTTTGTTGCACCAGCTCCTTTATCCAATCAAACAAAACTCTTTTAAATATAGAGTCCCTATTTTAAAGATGTACTCTTATTTTCCACATATGTGTTCTGTGTGTCTTTTCAGATGACTCCAATAGTATATTTTATCCAAAAATCCCACCTCAAGACTACAACAGTACAGTACTTGACATGGACCTAGTTGTCTGTGGTCTGGTTGAATTCATTTGTTCTCAGTGGGATGTATTTGGCATTTTGGAAAATCATGAGTATTTTAAATACAGGCATATTTTGTACTACAAAAACTAAATAAATGCCAGAAAATAAAAAGAAAACAGCTCACAGTTGATTATTACATTTATTTAGATGTTTTTTTACAGTATACACTAAAGATAAAAAAACAACAACATTGTCATATAAATGTTTGACTGGTTTCTATATTATATGTCTGTTCCTGAATTTCAGACTTGCAACAAAGTAGAAAAAATAAGATTTAGAGCTTGTAATTAAAGGAGGACTGATGCAATTTAATTCCCAGTGACTGTACAAAGATCGTGCAAACAAGTTGAAACATAACATGCGAGAGCATCTCCAAGTCATTAACAGATCTGGAATGCAATCCATAATTTCTGATATCTTATTGATGAATTTCATGTTGGCATGGGGTTGCCTTTTTAAAACCTGCAGTTTGGTCTTGCACTCTCACAGCTCCCCGAAACAGCAAACTGTGCTGTTTAACCAGACCTTGTGAATGCTGCTGACCTAGGGCTCATAACCAATTGTAATGAACTATTGCACACTGTAGAAATATTTATTGTGGACAAATAAATATCTAGTCCAGGTAATTTTGAAATAAACATTGTACGATGCACATATTTTAGGGTAAAAATCCTGTGTGCTGTCTGCCATCATCTATTTGTTTAAAAGCCAAACTTTGTGTTAGGTAGTATTTTATGGGTTTCCTTGACAGGGTATTTTACTCTTATAGTATTGTTAACAGGCCATTGTTGCAGAAAAGCACAACAATGGCGATATTGTAGCAACATATGCTGCTGTAAATATGACATATCTAGGGATGACCATCTATTTCATATGTGTCAAATTCAAGGCCTGCGGGCCAGATGTGGCCATCGTTGACGTCTTATCTGGCCCCCAAGATGTTATTTTGAATGTAAAATACTTTTATCACTTTATTTTTTTCAGTAATCTTTGATTATAATATCAAAAGTGCAACAGAGAATGTCAAACGAGACCATTCAAACAAGAGTTTCATTCATTGAAGAATTTCAAACAGAGGTTTATAAAGAAGTCTCATCTGTGGATGAGTGGTTAGAGCAATCGTCCTCCAATGCAAGAGTTGGGGGTTAAAATCCACCAGCAGTCACATGCCTAAGTGTCCCTGGGCAAGACGCTGAACCCCTAATTGCCTCCGATGTGTGTCCCATCGGTGTATGAATGTGATCTCAAAGCACTGATTAGTCTATTTAGTCTATTGAGCATGCATCAGGATATCTATTAGAATGATTTGTTCAATGGGTTTTGTAGAGTTCTAGTAGAGTGTTGTATAAATGGGTAAATGAGGACACAGACTGTAGTGTAAAGCTTTTTGAGTATTTGGATAAGATAGAAAGGCGCTATATAAATGCAGTCCATTTGTTGAGGAACCTGCAACCAAGAAAATATGTTGGGTATGGAACTTGAGTTAATGTAGATTCTGAAACTTCAATTCAATTCAATTCAATTCAAAAATATTTTATTAATCCCAGAGGGAAATTATTTGTTGTTGTAACTCGTTATCCTCATTTCATTAAGAGATGCCATAGATGCCGATGGCTGTAGACAGGAAGGGTCTCTTGTAAAGGTCCATCCCACAGTGGATCCCAAGAAACTGGTTGCAGATGCCGTCCGATCCGTCCACCCAGACCCGGCTGGCCTCTCAGTTCCTCCAGGCTGTAGGACCATCTGAATGCTGGGCAGAACTCCTCCCAGAGCGATGGCCACTCCTCCCAGTAGTCTGCCAAGCTCCTCGTCGCTGCGGACAGCCAACTGTAGGTGCCGAGGGACGATCCTGTCCTTCCGCTTTCATGAGCCGTGTCTCCCGCCAGTTCCAGGATCTCAGTGGTCAGGCACTCGAGCACAGCCGGCAGTTAGATGAGAATGCGTCCACAGAACATCCTTTTCAACTCATCTGAGATATGGGGCTGTAGTTGAGATATTATTTGAGCTTTTGAGATGTTAATCAGCTCCTGTTGTTGTAGAAAACTGCCTTGTTGCCATGGTTACGCATCATAACAAATGTCCAAAACTAAAAAAGTTTCAGTAAAAATCCTTCCAGCTGCACAGCATCTGATACCAGAGGAAACAATCATCCAAAAAAATGTGCTTTACATCCAGAAAAAGAGGAATTAAAGTTTCCAAAAGCAAAATCTCAGAATGAAAGTAACAGAGCTGCTCCAACATGCAGCCACCTTGAGCGGCGAAACCGGCTATTAGTTTGAAAAAGGTTTGAATTTTGGCCCCTTTTTGTAAATGGGTTTGACACCCCTGATCTATTTGAACAAGCTGTAATACCTTATGTTGCTCATTGCTGTGGAAGAAATACTAGAATGGCTTCTAAGCAATTCTGACCTACCCCCAGGGAAAGAATAGATAAGAATTTTGAAAAACAAATACAAAAAGAGAGAAAATATTTTGCATTATGTCAATTTTTAAGATCCATTACAAGTTAAAATGGGACAAAATAAGCATTGAAAGCTTTAACATGTTGCTAGAAATAATGGACATTTTTCCTACCTGTAAAAATCTAATCTTATTTACAAAACGAAAATATTTTATGACTATAATTTCCCAGTTCAATTCAAAATTATTTATAATAATAATACATTTTATTTGTATGGCGCTTTTCTAAATACTCAGACGCTTTAACTTTCATTACAAACTCAAATCCCCAAGCTTCCCTTTAAAAGGCGGGTTTATAGCTTATTAACCAATCATCTTCGTTATTTTTATCACGTGGTTGTAGACGACCAATAGCAACCCTTAGATTAGCTTCTGCCGCACCCAAGTAGGATGAAGGTGGCTGGGCGGAGCGAAGGCAAGAGTAGAGAGATAAACCCTCTCTGAAATTACCAGGGGAGGGGATAAAAACATAGAAAACCCTCGTCAAGTCTTTGATCTGCTTTGTTTTCAGTTCACCGCAGCAATAACGAGAGGGTAAGCTTCTATTTGCACGGTATACACTGCATTTTAGCGACAGTTTCAGATGTAATATGGCTCGTGTGTGTTATGTGTCTGTGCCGTTGTTTTTCCTTTCAGTGCGGAGCTGTTTAGCTAACGTGCTGCCTGTTTTTTTAAGCGGGGGAGACTAAACAGAGACTGCTGTGCACATCCCCCCCACACACGCACAGAAATACTGGTCTTTAAATTTCAAATTAAATGGCTACACCTAGGCTCAGTCGTTTTTATTGACCTCAACAATAGCCGAGGACTCACTTTGTGCCCGAGGTGTTTTGCTTCAAGTGTCGTTAGCTTGACACTTAAAGCAGGCCTGCAGTGGGATTGTGTTTTTTGTATTTTTGCATTTTATATTTTCCTAGTTGCTGTAAACTGTTTAATATGAACCCTTGTGCGTTAGACTCTGGCCCCTTTCCAGCTTGGGTGTGTTTCCGGAGGATTTTGTTTTGTTCAACTGTGAGGAGATGGAGCATTATTCTCCAGGCATTATATACATATAAATATATAAGCTTTTTTTTTTTTTTGCAAAACTAAACAGAAGGAAACAACAACAAACACTGCAAGAGATACAGAGCTGTAATTTCTAAGGAAAACAGGAAAATTTAGTATTGTTTGTAAAACAATCATAATTTTCCTGTTAGTAATATCTTATACACCCATATCAACAATTCATCTTCAAAGTATAGACTGCTCTGCAATGTCATATTCTGTGGTGTGTGTGGCCAAGGTGGAAGACCACTTCAGTTGATAACTACAGAAAGAAGAGGCAGAGTGATCAGTGGTAGTTCAGCCAAATGGTCAACTTTAATGCAGTTTTTGTTTTTTGTGGGGTTGTCTCTGAAGTTGCAACAGAAGTTAAATTAGAGCACTAAACAAATACATTCTTATACATGAACAGTCAATGGGTAATATTATTTATCTAAGGTAGGGTAGAGTAGGCACCAATGGATGACGTCTTGGTTGAACAAGCCTATCAAAATCAAGTCTTATCCATACGAGTTGCTCAAATCTGTTCATTGATCGTCTGTACACTTTCTTTATGAAATATCTGCTTCAGTGACGTGGATTATTTTGATACCAGGAAATACTGAAGAGTTGAACTCATTCACGGTTTCATGATACCGATGCTCGTATTTTATTGACTGTCATTGAGGATCGAGACGCTGTGAAGTTTTCTGTGAAAAAGCCATCTTTGTTTTTTTAGTTTTCCTCTTTACGTAACGCTTACCCATGATGTTGCGATGTGTCAATCATTCCTCACTATGGCGTAGGTTTCCTGCAACCAAGCAGAAACTAAATAAATGCAGGCTTGAAGACTTTTGTAACATCTTATGTGAATGAGCTCAGGTTAAAAACTAGATAATTATAAACAGGATATGAAATCAGCAGCAGTTGGTTCGGATTGTTCACCCACTTTCTCACATGCATTTCTTTGTGGGGGTCAGAACCATTCAACAGGCTTAATTTATGACAATATTGTCATTTTTCAGACAGCTCAATTCTTTTTGCATATTTTAACTTTTGTGTTGCATTGCTCTTGCCAGTTTCCGAGTAATTCAACTCTGTAAATAAATAAATATTAATAGAGCTCGTCATGATCCAAGCACTTAGTTGGTTAAAGTGCTTTGTCTTCAGCATGGAGAAAAGGCCACATGTATACATGTACTAATGATGCCAGTTGTCAGAGTCAGTTTCTTTGTCGTTCACACCACATGTGGTACGTGTGGTGGAACGAAATTATGTACACAGGGTCCCAGTTACATCCAACAATAAAATGTAAAAGAAAAACGGTAATAAATCTAAGATATAAACCAAGAAAAACATCAACCAAAAATATGTCAAGCACCAGTAGCATAAAAACAATACGCTGAACAGCAGCACGAACATGAGTCCTTGTAAGCAGATGAGCACGCACGGACACAGCAACATGAAACAGACCAGCAGCAACATGATGTCTTCACAGTGATCATCATGATCAGATGGTGCAGTCTGTTAGCTCTTTTAAGCCAAATTAGTATAAATATTTATTACTTTTACTGTTTGTATGATTGGACATGTATTACTGTGACTGGTTGTGGTGCAAATTCTAAAAAATCTATTGAAGTACACCTCTGAACTTTTAAAAATTGTGAATATTTTTCCCTTGTAAATTGAAGTGGTGTGGTAAGTCCTAAACTAAAGGCAAATTAGAGGAGAAGTTTGGTTTGAGAAGTCAAGAGAGCAAAGGACATTGGGGAGATTACGGTAATCCATTCATCAATCCATCCATCCATGTGCTTGTTCTGTAGTCGGGTCGTGGGGGCAGCAGCTTGTGCAGGAAGGCCTGGACATCTCTTTCCTCATCCACCTCTTCCAGCTCGTCTGGGAGGACTCCAAGGTGTTTCCAGGCCAACCAAGAAACATGTCCTTGGTCTTCCCTGGGGTATCCTCCCAGTTAGACATGTCTGAATCACTTCCGTATGGAGGTGCCCAGGAAGCATCCTCACCAGATGCCTGAACCACCTCAACTGGCTCTTCTCTATGTGGAGGAGCAGCAGTTCTACTCCCAAGTCCCTCCTAGATAATTGGACTTCTCACCCTATCTCTAAGCGAGAGGCCATCTACCAAGTGGATGGAACTCATTTCAATCGCCTGTATCCACAGTCTCGTTCTTTCAAAGTCAAAGTTTTTTTATTTGTCGTTCGCACCACATTTACCACATGTGGGGCAAACAAAATTGTGTACACAAGGTCTTTCGGTCACTATCCAGAGTTTGTGGCCATAGATGAGGGTATGAACGTAGACCGACTGTTAAACAGTGAGCTCACCTTACAGATCAGCTCCTTCTTTACCACAACAGACCGGCACAAAGTCTGCAATACTGCAGACACTGCACCAATTAGCTTGTCAGTCTAATGCGCCATTCTTCCCTCACGTGTGAACAAAATCCCAAAAAGAGAGCAATACCCCTTTTCCAACTGAGGACCGTGGCCTCGGATTCGGAGGTGCTGATTCTCATTCCAGCTTCTTCATACTTCGCTGCGAACAGCTCCAGTGAGAGATCAAGATCACGGCACAATGACGCCAGCAGGACCACATCATTCGCAAATAGCGAAGACGAAATCCTGAGGCCACCGAACTGGACTCCCTCCACTTCCTGGCTGCACTGAGAAATTCTCTCCATGAAAGTTATGAACAGAATCAGTGACAAAAGGCAGCTCTGGGAGAGTCCAACTCCCACCCTGAAGTGGTCCAACTTTCTGCCAGCAATGCAAACCAAACTCCTGTACCGCCTGTAAAGGGACTGAACAATCCGTAGCAACCTGCCCCAATCCCATACTCGCGGAGCACTCTCCACAGCTTCCCCCGAGGAACACGGATTCAATGGAGATGCAATGCAGTTAACTTTACTCTTGTTGTAAATCTTTGTCTGGTGTTAGATAAACACCTCTCCATCTTTTTGTGTATATTCTAGCAATAAAGCTAAGATGAATCGTGTGTTGGACAGTGTTATTTCCCTGGATCTTGTATTTTTGTTAAAATGTCTGAATCTCCTAAACGATGAATCTTAGCCTCGTCAGTCTGGCTCAGATTTGTCACCTTCCACAAACGCATACACACTTAATATAGAAACAGAACACACTGTGTTTGTTTAACTCCCACACCCACATCCTGGACTGCAGTGCAGTTGAAAACGTGTTCCTCATTTCTGCTTCATTTTCAATATATCTATCCTTTTTTCCTCCCCACATGTGATCAATTAGCAGAGTCTGGGTGATACTTTTAGTACAGTAAGGCATCTTCCACACTAAGGAGGTCAGTAAAGCTCACTTGAAAACACAATACATCATTAAGGTTTGGGCAAAAGTTGCACAGTTTCAAACATGATAGTGTAGAAGAGTGTGAGATTTGTGTTGCCACTGCTGTCTTATGGCGCACAACAGCCAGACACGATTCATCTTAGTCTGTACTTAATGCTAACAACAGGGTGGATTGAATTTGGCAATATGTCTTACTTTTCCCATGCAGCTCCATTAGTACCATATTTTTATTTTCTGGGTTGTGAGTAGCTGATGTCTATTTGCAGTCATTGTGCAAGAGACAAAGCCGTTGGGAAGAAACCAGAGTACCTGGAGAAAACCGACATGTGCATGCAGGGAGAACATGTACAATCTACACAGAAAGGCCCCAGGGCAATCCTGTAACCTCACTGAAAGGCAAGAACTTCTCTAACCACTGCATTGCCGTATTAACCCTCTTGTTGGGTAACTTTCAGTTCGGGGCCGGGTTTTTCAATATCGGAGTTGCTTTACGTTTCAGCCTGGCCTATCGTCATTGAAGTTTATGCTGAAAATCTAATTTAGGCTTTTCGATAAAAGATCCCATATAAAAGTGTCACTGTCTGTTCTTTCATTTGTCTCTAAAAATAAAAATGAGTATCTCTGGGGGGTTTTTTGTGCCAGAAATGTGTAATTTGAACCATTTATTAAAATGAGGTGAATGTAGCTATGTACATAAATTAATAAGATAAGTGCTATATGTTATCATTGTATGTTCCCATACAATGGCAAAATTGGTTCTCTGCATTTAACCCATCGCACCTGGGATACACCCAGGTGGAGCAGTGGGCAGCTATGTAAGCGCCCTGGGAGTAATTAGGGATTGGGTGTCTTGCTCAGAGACACCACGACACATGTGGGCATGGCTGGGGATGGAACCTGGGACTTTCGGGTTCCGAGTTGGCTACCCTGCCTCTACCCCATCTCACCCCATAATGTGTGAGATGTCATTGTATTCAAAATAAAGAGAGATTGTGTCAATATGATTCTTAGGATTTTAAAAGTTCTTAAAATGTAATTTTGACCTCTGAGATAATTGACATTGGCAACTTGCACACTGGCAACTTGCACACTAATTACTGCTTCTTCATCTTGTGAAACACTACTCTGCCTGCTACACTTACGTTGCAAAAAACAAACTTATCTATGTATCATATATAC